GGCGGGGGGGGCTGCACCGTGCGCGGGGGCGGGCGCCGGGGGCACCGTGCATGGAGCAGGGGGGCACCGGCGGTACCGTGCACGGGGGGGGCTCCGGGGGCTGGGCCCGGCCTCTCCACCTCCCCCCCGCCGTGAGCAGCCGGGCTCCAGGGAGGGAGGGTCTTGCACCGGGCACCCCCCCACACACTCCCCGCACCACGTTTTGGGGGGTGCTCGGGGCTCCCCATGGGCGTTTGGGTGCGTTCACCCCCCGTGCGGGGTGCGTGGCCGTGGGGGGGCCGGGGCTGCCGCGYGCCTGTCTGTGTGTGGCTGTGCGTGTCCATGTGTGTTTGTGTACGGCGCCCGCCACGCAGCAAACGCCTCCCTGTCCCCCCCCCCCGTCATCGCTGGCACTGTGGGGCTGGGGGAGCCCAAGCCGGGTGGGGGGCACGGGCAGGGGGAGCCGGTGGCCCGGGGTGACCCCCCATCGTGGTGCCTGCAGTGCAGCCCATAAATCAGCACGGCCGGGGCGGGTGCGCAGGGCCCGCGGGCTCCCCGCGCGGTGCAGCGGGAGCGACGGGGCTCCCTGTGTAGTGCAGCGGGTGCAATGGGGCTCGTCATGCGGTGCAGCGGGAGCGATGGGACTCCCCACGCGCTGCAGCGGGTGCAATGGGCCTCCCCATGCGGTGCAGGGGATACAATGGGGTTCGCTGCACCATGCAGGGAGTGCAACGGGGTTCCCCGTGAGGTGCAGCAGATGCAATGGGGCTCCCTGCATGGTGCAGTGGGTGCAATGGGGCTCCCCGCACRGTGCAGKGGGTGCAATGGGGCTCCCCGCACAGTGCAGGGGGTGCAATGGGGCTCCCCGTGCACTGCAGTGGGTGCAATGGGGCTCCCGCTGTGGTACAGCTGGTGCAATGGGGCTCCCTGTGGCCTGCACTGCACCTGCCCCACTGCCACTGCACGGATGGGCCCCGGAGGGGCTGGAACCGGGAGGCATCGTGGGCCCCGGTGGCCCCATGTGGCTGTTCCCAGTGTGGCCAGCCAGCACYGTACCCCTGTTTTGCAGGTGACATTATCCACCCCCCTGCCCCGGCTGTACCCTGGGGACCGCGGCAGAGCCACTGGGGACACAGACTGAGCAGCGAGGCCTGAGGAGCACCAGGACGGGGGCTCCCTGCTCCAGCCGTTGAGGACACCACGGTTCGGGACCCCACTGCTGGGGCCATCACCGCTGGGGACGCCAGCAGCACGTGCCATCCCGCTGGAGGGCACCAGGGCCGCCTCTCCGCAGCACCCCCAGCGCCGGCTGCCCGGCGGGATCCCCCCTGCCAGCGCGCGGAGCACGAGGACGGAGAGCGGGCGGCAGACGGGGACGCCGCGGGGCCGCCGTCGCCGCCGGGTGATGGATTTTGCCCGTGCCGAGCGGCTGCCCCGCGGGAGCGGAGCCAGGCGACCGCGGAGCCGTTGGGAGCCGCCGGGTCCCCGCCGGGCCCGGCAGTGACTGCAGCGTCCACAGCGTCCCTCGGGGAGGAGAAGGGGCACCAGGCCCAGGAGCCAGCCCTGCGGCCACCCGTCCCATCCCATCCTGCCACCATGGCCCGGCCGGCACTGCTGGCGCCCGGCGGCTTCCCGGCGCGCGCCGTGGTCTGGGAATGGCTCAACGAGCACGGGCGCTGGCGGCCCTACTCGGCCGCCGTGAGCCACCACCTGGAGCAGGCGCTGCAGGAGGACGCGCGCGGCCGCGTGCCGCTGGGCCCGGCCGACGCGCAGCTCGCGCCCTACGTCATCGACCTGCAGGCCATGCACCAGCTGCGCCAGGACACGGGTAAGGGGACGGGACCCCCGCTCGGCTCGGCTCGGCTCGGGCGGCCGCCTCTCCATGCCGGCCTCATCGCCTCCATCCCAGCGCCTCTCTGCTTGTTCATCTGCGCTCCGTTCCTACCATCGGTCCAAGCGTCTTGGTATCTGTCCATTTATCTGTCATCCCTTCCGTGCATCCGTCTGCCCAGGGACGTGTCCTGCTCTCCGTCTGGCCTGTTTCTGTCGCTCCTCGGCTTCGCTGGGCTCCCGTCTGCTGGGAATTGCAGGAGATTTTTCCTCCCTCATTTATTCTTTATCCTCCCCTGCCTCCTTCCTCCACCATGGGTCCCTTTCCTGAGGGGTGGGCACCCTGTCCCCTGCAGCCAGCAGGCACTGGGGCACCTCCGTCCTTCCCTCCCAGTGCAGCCGGAATCTCCGGCGGGATGCAGGGCGCACCCAGGACACACATGCCCGCGGGAGCCGGGATGCCATCCCGCAGCCCCGCACTTGGACACCAGTGTTCCCGCTGGGATGGTGCCCCCGAGGTGCCCTGGGTGCAACGGGGGCCGGACTCGTTCCGCGGCCGCGGCGGGAGCCGGACTCGCTCTGCAGGAGCGGACGCTGCGAAAGGAGGTGACCCCATTCCCGGCTGCAGGGCCGAGCTCCGCTCCCGCGGTCCCAGCGGTGCTGCCGCTGATCCGGAATCTTCCTGGTGGCCTTGGGGGTACCTGTGGTCCCCGCGGGTGCAGGGGCTGCGCCTGCCCGTGCTGCCTCCTCTTCCTGCATCCCGCTCCGCTCCAGGCTGGATGGGCCTGGGACATGGCTGAGCATGGGATGCAGCGTGGGGTGCAAGTGGGATGCAGACAGAATGAGGGATGCAGATGTGAGTGGGATCCGGGACAGGGATTGGAAGGGGGTGAGGGATATGGATGTGAGCGGGAAGCAGGACAGGGATGAGAGCAGGATGTGGAATGGGGATGCAAGTGGGATGTGGATGCAAGGGGGAAGTGGGATTTGGATGCAAGTGGCAATGAGATGTGGTTGCAAGTGGCAGTGGGATGTGGGGCATGGATATGAACGGGATGCAGGACACRGGTGTGAGCAGAGTGGGGGATGTAGGATGTGGATGTGGCCGGGCAGCAGGATGCAGGACATGGATGTGAGCGGGCAGTGGCATACAGGATGTGAGAGGGATGTGGGATGTGGATGCAAGTGGGGTGCAGATGTGAGAAGGATGTGGACGCGAGCAGGCAGTGGGACGCAGGGCACTGGTGCAAGGGGGATGCGGATGCAAGACACGGGATGCAGACGCAAGCAGGCAGTGGGATGCGGGTGCAAGCAGGGTGCAGGATGCGAGCAGGCAGCGGGATGCAGGAGATGAGCGGGAAGCAGGACGCGGAGCCGGATGCGAGCGGGCAGGTTTCCATCGGCACCCCACGGAGCTGGCTCAGCACGAGTCGGCGCTGGGGCCGGGCTCWGCCGCCTGCAGCCGCGGGTGATTAATGACCGTTATTAGAGTCGTTAATAGGGCTGGGTAAACGGGGCTGGAGAAAAAGCAGCGGGTGCTTGAGGAGCACCAGGTGCRTCGGCATCGCCCGGCGTGTCCCCTGCAAAGTAGCTGCACACGGGGCTCGGCGGGGCCCTGTCTGCACCCACGGCGGTGCCGGCTGCTGGCCAAGGCACCGCGCGGGGCCGGCACGAGCCGCAGTGGCCGCCGGTGCCGCCGCGCGGAGCTTCGCGAGTCCCCGGGGAGGGCGCGCRGCCAGCGCAGCCACCGCCATCCAACGGCCCGCGGGCAGGGACGGGGCCCCGCGCCGCCCGTCCTGGCACCCAGGGCTCCCCCGGGAGCTGCTGCTGTCACCCGGCCTCCTCCCGCTCCTCCTCCTGCTCCTGCATGGGAGCAGGGTGCGGGTGCAGCCGGGCGCACTGGGTGCCACATGAGGCTGCAGGGGGGACTAGTGCAACCCTGTGGGCAGGGTGTGTGCTGGGGGGCTGTGCCGCGGTGCCAGGGTGCTGCACTGGGTGCCATGCAGGGTGCCGTGCAGGGTGCTGCACGGGGCATGGTGCTGGCTGCTGTGCAGAGTGCTGTGCAAGCTGCTGCGCTAGGTGCCATGCAGGGTACTGCACTGGGCATTGCACTGAGTGCTGTGCAAGGTGCTGTGCAAGGTGCTATGCTGGGTGCTGTGCAGGGTGCCATGCAGAGTGCTGCACTGGGTGCTGTGCAGG